ATCCAGAGACACCCTCAGACAAACTCAAAATCCAGTTCAAAGCAGGCGCTAGTGACTTTCTTTGAACTCCTCCCCAGGAGCGGTGGAGGGGGCTAGGGGGTAGGAGAAGGATGCAGAGGAATAAAAGAAAATGAACCTGGCCAACATTTTACTGCAAATGACCCATGCTAAGAGCGCCTTACTGGTCAGGACGCTGAGCCCAGGGAACGTGGTGGCCGCTCCAGCCGTTGTGGCAGTGGAACCTCCTGAGGCAGCTGTGCTGGATGCTGAAACCCCAGGCACAGTTGGAATTGTTCCAGGAGCTGTCGAGGAGACACGTCCTAGGAGAGCAGAGGGAAAACGTCTGGAAGCAGCCCAAGCAAGAGCAAAGCAGAAGTCGTGTCCAATGCACACAGTCCAAACCCTAGCAAGTTTTTGGTAGAAATTGATGAACTGCTTTTATGGAAATCAAAGGACTGAGAATAACCAAGACAATCTACAAAGAACAGAAATGGAGGACTTGCACTGTCAGATCTCAAGACTCACTGCAAAGCTGCAGTCCTTAAGTGCTGTGGCACTGGAGTAAGCACTAGCAACCAGACCCACACAGACGTGGCCACTGGACTTTCAGGAAGGTGCTCTCACAAGTCGATGGTGGGAGCAGGGGAGGGTCCTTGAAAATAATGGTTCTGGATATTCATGAGGGGGAAAAAAAAGAACCTTGCCCTCTGTCTCACTCCACACACAGAAACGAATCAGATGGACAATAGGCTTACATGTGAAAGCCACAATAATAAAGCTGCTGGAAAAATGCAGAGAATTTCTTCCAGGAAAAGTCTTAGGCAAGGATACAAAAGGCACTAACCACAAGAGAAAAAAGCTGATCAATTGAAAAACAGAAAGAGTTGACCTTGGATAACCACAAAGGCAAGGGAGCTGCTCCACGAGGTTCTGGGAAGCTGCGGGCTTACAGCAAGCCCTACCCAGAGCTCTGGCTGCGCTGAAAAGTTCTCTGGAGATGGTAGAACAACATTATCAGAAATATCACCTGGCAATGTAGAGACTGTTCCTGAAGTACTTCCAGAAACAGTGGGAGCTGAAGTCTGAGGACTGCTGGGAAAACCCCCAGAGGTTGAAGAAGCTGTTGAAAAACTCCTGGAAATGGTGGGGAGACCTGCAGAGATGGTGGAGAGACCTGCAGAGGAGATAGCAGGGAGGCCTGCAGAGACAGCAGGGAGAGTCGCAGAGACAGTGGGAAGAGCAGCAGAGACAGAGGGGAGACCTGCAGAGACAGCGGGGAGATTCACAGAGACAGTGGAGAGACCTGCAGAGACAACAGGGAGATCCACAGAAATAGCAGGGAGACCTCCAGAGGCACTGGGGAGACCTGCAGAGAAAGTGGGGAGAGTCACAGAGACAGCAGGAAGAACAGCAGAGACAGTGGGGACACCTCCAGAGACAGTAGGGAGACCCCCAGGGGCAGCGGGGAGATCTCCAGAGACAGAGGGAAGAACTGCAGAGACAGCTGGGAGAGTTGCAGGGATAGCAGGCAGAACAGCAGAGACCATGGGGAGACCTCCAGAAACAGCAGGGAGACCCACAGAGACAGCAGGGAGATCTCCAGAAGCAGCAGGGAGAACCAAAGAGACAGGGGGAAGACCCCCAGAGGCAGCAGGGAGACCACCAGAGGCAGCGAGACCTCCAGAGGCAGTAGGGAGACCCCCAGAGACAACAGGGAGATCTCCAGAGACAGTGGGGCGAACTGCAGAGACAGCAGGGAGAGTTGCAGAAACAGCAGGCAGAATAGCAGAAACAGCAGAGAGACCCCCAGAGACAGTGGGGAGATCCAAAGAGTCAGTGGAGAGGTCTCCAGAAGCAGCGGGGAGAACCACAGAAACAGGAAGAAGACCTCCAGATGCAGCAGAGAGAACCCCAGAGGCAGCAGGGAGACCCCCGGAGGCAGCAGGAAGACCTCTAGAGGCAGTAGGGAGACCCCCAGAGTCAGCAAGGAGATCTGCAGAGACAGGGGAGAGACCACCAGAGGCAGCAGGGAGACCCCCAGAGACAGCAGGGTGACCCCCAGAGACAACTGGGAGACCTGCAGATACAGTGTCAGAAGTCTCCAGTGGGGTCAGCTGAGCTGTTGGAAAAAGAAGAAAAACAATGGAATAGGTTAGTAGAGTTGACCATATCCCTGGGGTCCAAGTCCACATCCTCCCACAAGATCCCATGTCCGAGCCCGGTGCTCACCTTGTATAGCCAAGGTCTGCAGGCCCAGAAGCAGCACCAGCAAAGCAGCCATGGTGCCAGTTGAGGCGTCTTGGCCAGGCCCATCTTCCTGGCTCTTTAAAGGCTCTGGGGCCGATCACAAGTCCCGGGAGAGCCAGGTGTGCCGGAGCCTCCATCAACACCAGAACCTCCATCCCCAGGGAGAGGTCACCAAGCTGTCCCAGGAGATTAACCTGTCCCAGGCTGATCCCAGGAAACACTGGGTGAAGGGGAGAGTGAGTAAGAGCCTGAGGATTCCCCCACCTGTCCCTCAGGCTCTTTCTGGACTAGGGACCTGTCCCCCAGGCTTGAGTCAGTCCACAGCCCAGACCTCCCTCAAAACGAGAAAACCCAGGTGTCCTATCCCAAGGTCCTCCTCTTGCTCCTAGAAGTATAACATTAGGGCTCAGGATAGACCTTGGGGAAACAGGATTTGGCAGCTAGAGTTATGGGGAGACCATCAGGGCCTGGGACTGTGCATCTCACCTTCAGGGGACCTCAGGGTAAGGTGGGAGGGAACACCTGAACCACCTTGCCGAGACAGCTGCAGCCCACAAACCTTCCCTTCCTTTGACAGAGAAGAGGAAAACGGAGAAGAGGGGCCAAAGAAGACATGTGTCATGCCAGGGACAGTGCACTATGGAGGATCAGAACCCGGCTCTGGAGCCAGCGTCCCTGAGATCTCAGAAGCTTAGCACCAGGGCTGAGTCCACTGCACTGGAATCCACCTCTGACAAAGTGTGCATCCTGGACAAGTCACGGAACCGAAGTCTTGGTTTCTTCCCTTATGAAATGGGGGTAATTGGCCAGGTGCAGGCTCATGCCTGTAATTCCAGCACTTTGGGAGCTGAGGCCAGAGGATTGCTTGAGCTCAGGAGTTCAAGACTAGCTTGGACAACATAGTAAAACTTCCTCTCTATAAAAGATAAAACAAATTAGCCCAGCATTCCTATAGTTCTAGCTACTTGGGAGGCTAAAATGGAAGGGATGCTTGAGTCTAGGAGATCTAGGCTGTGGTGTGCCATGATCATGCCACTGTACTCCAGCCTGGGTGACAGAGTGAGACCCAACTAGAACAAAACAAAACAAAACAAAAAGCTGGGAGTAATCAGTACCTGCTTCAAGGGGTCTCTGAGGGCATTAAAGGAAATAATGTCTCAGATGAGCCTACCACACAGCCATGACAGCTGTGAGTAGAAAGAGTGGAGGCACTTGCTAGGAAAGAGTGGGAACTCTCCTCTGAGGAAGATCTCTGCATTTCCCCATCCTACTCCCTGCTCGTTCCTTTTGTGCCTGCTCTTCTTGCCCATGCCTTCATTCTTCTCACCCTCTCTACAGTCATCTTCCTGCTCCCCAGTGCAAGTCTGGGAGTCTCTGGATGCCTCACTTTGCATTTGCAGTGCAGACCATGTCTCTAGGTTTCCGTTTCCCTGGTCTTGCTTTCAGCTTCTACCCAATGCGCTCGCTGCCTCTGTGGTCCCACTGGCTTTGGGGAAGGGGACGAAGCAGATGGGAAGATGGAGGCCTTGCCCTTGTGTTTCCAGTCAGGTTTATGTGGCTGGTGTGCCAGTATGTGGAGTGTGTCCTGTGTCTGGCATCATGAGGGGTGGGTTCTAATCTCTCTGAGATTGACCTGCTAGGAGACCTTAGCAAGTCATTTGCCTTCTCTGAGCCTTTCTTTCCTGGATTTTAAAGGATAGTGATTCCTTCTACACACCTGTCCTCATGCTTGTTTTTCTGAGCACCCGTGAACAATAGTCTTGGCTGGCAGTAGGTGGGCATGCCCTTTGCATGGGTGCACAAGGCAGGGGTGAGAGGATAGTTGATGAAACTCATGTCTCTACTCAAGTATCTAAGATGTGTTAGGGCGACTAAAACAAAGTGTTCAACATTACCCAGATTTCTCATCTAGAAAGTCACCGAGGCTAGGGGAGCAGGACTCCTGGGTTTGGGAAGCTTGACTTAATCCACCCCTCCCTTTTGGGCCCACATTCCTGAGTCCTTTGGTGGCAAGAATGATGAAAATTAACTGCAGTTAATAATTAATCCCTAAAGAGCCATTGGGAGGGAGGCCCAGGCTTGGGTGGGGCCTAGACACCTGCAGGAGGGACACCTCCCTGGCGCTTCCCTCTTGATTTTCCTCTCTCTGTAGGACCAGCAACCACCTCCTCAGGCATGGAGACATGGGGGAGGGACACAGACTTGAGGAAAGAGGACCCCTCTCTATTTTCTCTAAGAGCCCAGTGAATGTCCCTCTCTTGGATCCTCAGAGCCTTACTGGAAGAACTGGAAAATCCAGTTGCGCAGATTCCCCCTCCCATTCCCCACCAAACACTTATGCTAAGGCTCAAGGAGGGTGTAGAAAGCAGGCCTGGTAAAGGAGAGGCCACGGAGACTTCAGTATCTGTCTGTCCCATCCCAGAAGTGAGGTGGCCACAATGGGGTCCTGGCTGCCCCTGGTCCTCCTCCTGACCCTCCTTGGCAGCTCACATGGAACAGGTGAAGGCTGGAGGCTGGACACCTGGGTCCTCATGGCAAAAAAAGGTCAGAGAAGGGGAGTGGGGCTCTTTGTTCCCTGAGAGAGAAGACACAGCAGTCCTGGGCTTTCCAGAGGTTCTGGAGGGGCATTGCCAGGGAAGAGGAATTGCGGGCAGTGGGTAGGGGGTGGTATTGGGTCGGGGAGTGCCACATCACCAAGAGAATCTGGCCATGACTGCTTGGTCCTAAGCCATACTTCTGGACCTCCAGGGCCAGGTATGACTCTGCAACTGAAGCTGAAGGAGTCTTTTCTGGCAAATTCCTCCTATGATTCCAGCTTCCTGGAATTACTCGAAAAGGTACATCTTTATAAGGGAAAAGATGGAGTATATGTTTCTGAATCAGTGTGGGTCTCTCTGCTGGGGTCTGACCATCTCAAGGGTAGGAGTGGGGACCTCTCTTACATGTCACCCTCTAACCCTTTGTTCCCAGTTCTGCCTCCTCCTCCATCTCCCTTCAGGGACCAACATCACCCTCCTCCATGCAGGATCCCCACATCACGTTGTCTGCAGCTCCTGAAAGCCATGAAGCCTGGGTCTTGGCTGGGCATTTGGGCCCTGGGGTACCAGGGGCATGTTGTGACTCTGTCTTTTAACAGGCCCTCCCCCTTCTGAGTGGCAATAAATACTGTGTGCTGAACTCAATGGCTTGATTGTGGGTCCATAATCACAGAGCTGGCAGAAAAAGGGAGTTGGTCAGCCAAGTCTCTGACTGTCCCCCTGCTGAGTAGAGGGTTTCAGGGTGGACACTCCACACTAGTGTCACAGGCACAGTAGGAATCTGGGACCTTCAGACCACTTGGAAGTAAAGGAAAGCAACATTTATTGAATTCCTGCTTTCCCATTTCAAAGCTTGCAGCAGACTTGACAGCACCATAATCCTATTTTACAGATGAGGAAATTGGAGCTTAGAGACAGCAAATCACTCACCTAAGGTTCATCTGTCATGGAGAGGTCAGGTGTCAGATGTCTTGGTTCAAACACAGTTTTTATTTCATCTCCCTTTGCTTAAGCTTTGGGGCTGGGGATTCAGGAAACCAAGACAGGATTGTGGACAGAACATTCCTAGGACATGGTGCCCCTGACCAGGGGCCCACACAGGCCAGGAGGTGGTGGAGAGGCTACTCAGGTGAGAGATGAGGGGTCCAGCATGTGAGGGGATGGCTGCCCAGGCACAAGTGCTAGGGAGGAGAGGCCAAGTGCTAGCTGAGCTGGTGCTGGCTGAACACATGACCCCACACATGAATCCTGGGCACATTTCTTATTCTCCTGGAGTCTCCATTTCTTCACTCTCAAAATGGGGACAATGCCATACCTGCACCAGAGGATTGTTGTGAGGATTGCATGGGAAAGCTACTTGGGGACATACCCCAGCCTGTCATATAGTAAGTGGGCAGGTCAGTAGCAATGGCTGTTAGGGTGGAAACCTGGCCCCAACACATAAGTCCTAGTCACCTGGGTCCAGGGCCCTCCTTATCCTGATTTTCTCCTGACTCCTCTCCTCAATATTATCTTGACTTCTTACCACCTCTCAGAACACAAACTTGCAGCCCAGACTTGACTACTGTGGGTACTGATAGGATTGTTCCCTGTCCTCCACTGTACCCACACCTCTCCATCATCACTACATGAAATTGGAGACAGACTCCTTTGGAGGAAGAATAGGAAGACAAGAGTTCAGTGTGGAGCATCCCTGAAGAAGGAGGAGTAGAGAAAGTGGGAGCATGGAAACAAGCTTACAACCTCCCTCTACCTTCCTTTACAACTATCCTGGGACACAAGGATAGGCAGCCGGGGCTCCAGAGGAAACCAATATTTCATGAGTTGCCCCTAGCCTGCACTAGTGAGCAGGTGTCAACCATGGGGCAGCTATGAGGATCTCCAAACAGGTTGGGGGACTGGATGCCTGACTCCCCAAGAGACTGGAGGAGCAGATAACTGACTGCTGTTCAACCTAGCTTCTAGATCTCAGGGCTTGGGATCACCAGGCTGTGATTTATAGATTCTTTTCTCAAAGAATTGCCTCCCAGGACTCAAGACAAAGCATGCAATGAAGAGAATGCTTTGAGGTTCAACAGACCTGGGGGTGGCAGAGACTACTGATTGGCCCCCTAACAGTAACCCTCTTCCTTTGGGATAGTCATATAGATTTTAGCTGAACACATACATATCCCAGCCTTCCTTGCAGCTAGGTATGTACATAAAATCGGGCTCTGCTGGGCTCGGTGGCTCAGCCTATAATCCCGCGCCTTGGGAGGCTGAGGTGAGTGGATTGCCTGAGCCCACGGGTTCGAGACCCGCCTGAGCAACTTGGTGAGATCTCATCTCTACAATAAATCAAAAAATTAGCCGGGCGTGGTAGTGCATGCCTGTAGTACCCCAACTCCAAAAAAAAAGTATCTAAGCCGGGCTCGGTGTCTCAGCCTGTAATCCCAGCACTTTGGGAGGCTGAGGTGAGTGGATTGCCTGAACCCACGGGTTCGAGACCCACCTGGGCAGCTTGGCGAGACCTCATCTCTACAATAAATAAAAAATCAGCTGGGCGTGGTAGCGCACGTCTGTAGTTCCTGCTACTTGGAAGGCTGAAGCGGAAGGATCACTGGAGCCCAGCAGGTCGAGGCTGCGGTGGCTGGAAGTGGCCACTGCACTCCAGTCTGGGTGACAGAGTGAGACTCCAACTCAAAAAAAAAAAAAATTGGGCTCTGTCCAACAGGACACAAGTAGAAAGGAAGTGTGCAACTTCCAGGTAATATCCTTGAAAGGAAAGAGCTTCCATTTCAAAGAGGAAGAACCAAGTCCTTAAAACCCTTATAAGGTCTTGGATGAGCACTTTCCAACAGAACTGTGATGATGGAAATATTTTATAACTGTGCTGACCAACGTGGTAGCCACTGACTACATGTGTCTATCAAACACTTGAAATGTGGCTAGTGCGACTGAGAAACTAAAGGTTTATTTAATTAGTCAACTGGCTACCATTTTGGACAGCACAGCCCTAGGTGGTCCACCTTAAGTCTTGTCTGCCCCTATCCCCCGATTCTTCTCCCCTCATCCCCCTGACTCCACCACTCACTGACTTCCCCTTCTCACTCTGCCCCACTACACTGGCCTCCGGCTACTCTCTGAGCACTTCTGGTGTGTCCCATCTTAGTTTTGCTCTGGCCCTTCCCTTTGTCTCAAATGCTCTTCCTATACTTCCTGCAACCTTTGCCTAAACCTCACCTTTACCGAGTTCTACTCTGACTCCATTTAAAACTACAACCTGCTCCTCCCCATACCTTGCCCTATCCTTTTCCCCTCAGGTTGCACCCATGACCTTCAAACATACTACATGGTTTCCTTATTTGCATGTGTTCTTTCTGACTGCCTCTGCTGGAATGAACGTACTACAAGGGCAGAAATCTTTGTTTCATTCACGGATGAATCCAAGTGACCAGAATAGGGCACAGCACATAGTAGGTGCTTAAGAAATACTTGTTGAACTGGAAAAGAAAAACAGAAACTGTCCGCCCCCTTCTTGCCTCTTTCCTTCTGGTGGGAATGCAGACATGGTGGTGACAGCTGGAACATATCTTGGACCAAGAGTTGGAAAGCATATCAGAATGGCAGGAAAATAAGATTAAAGAGGGTGTGGGCCCCATTATTGCAGAGCCCAGCACTGCTTATGCCCAGCAAAAGAAATACATTGCCTAAGCCACCATTATATTTGAAATTTGGTTATAGTAGCTAGAAAGAACATGCACCTAATGTATTAGGTTAGATCACAGTGGAGATCTTGGATAAATTACTTTCTTTCTCTGAGCACATCTTTATCTTAAAAATTGAGCTAACAGCCATCCCATGACCTTCTTAGTAGGATTAAATGGTATCACACATCCAACACCATAGAAGACCCAGCCCAGGACAGGCTCACCATACCCAGCTACTCAGAGCTGCTGGACAGAATGCACTATGGGTGTGGAAGAGCCAGGCCCCTGAACTGCACAGAGATGAGATGGTGATTGTGCTGGTAAAGTGGTTGTCCAAGCTTCTGTAAGTCAGTCAGGGGCTGGCAGTGTGTCTCTGGCACTCGTGTCTCAGGTGCACAGGTCCAGAGTACACCATCCCCAGCACACCCTACAGACCATCAGGCCTGGAGGAGGTCCCTGCTTCTCTCAGCACCTCTGAAGTTAGGGCCAAGGAGCCGAGAAGCTTCCATTTGGTGAGAAGCGGAGGAGGAAGGGCTTGCAGAAGCTGGGGCAATGTCAGTAAGTCTAGAAAGCAGGTGGAACCGGGGCCACCGAGCCCATGCCCTATCCCTGGAAAGTTCCTTTCCCTCCAGTGAGGAAGCCCTTCTTTTCCCAGACCAAGCTCTCAAAGAACAACTGAGAGGCAAGAAAGGCACCATTAGGGGGGAGGGGGTAAAAGGACCACAGGCAGACATGTTTGGAATTTTTAAAGTTTATCTGAATCTGCTCATTCCCAAACTTCCAGGGCCTGCCCAAGAGGGAGGCCAGGCAGTAACGTGAGCACCTCGAGGACACCACACTAACTGTGACCAAGCCAGTCTGTTTTCTCGTTTACAAAATGAAGGTGGTGGACCATGTAGTCTCTGAGGTCCTATCACACCCTACCAGCTGAAAAATCTGTCTGTCCTCAGAGACAGGTCTGGGAGGGAAGAAAACTGACAGGGATGGTGAGTTAGAGCTCAGGGCTCCCTGAGGTTGGAGACTCATCCATCAGTTGTCGGAGGTGAGAGGCTGCCTTGTCCAGTCTCGACAATTCTAGTTGAAGAGAAGAAAGCTGGACAAGAAGAGAAGGAGGTGAGGATCCAGGTATGAGGCTCATGCCTCCCAGCCCACATTCCTTCAAGAGTCAGGCCTCCTGGGGGGACTCTCCCAAGTCTTACCCTTTGCTGCCTCTGAGTCTCTGCCTCCCCTTCTGATGGAGTTCTGGCTATGAGGCCATCAAGCTGCTTCTGTAACTTGTGTCTTCGGGCGGCTAGCAGAGGTAGATGGGTCTGGGGGTCCACCAGACCCTGGGGAAGAATGGGGAGGAAGGCTCAAGGCCTCCATCCTTTCCATTCTGAGGCCCTTTTCCTGCCTTTATAGAGCCCAGTCCTTCCTTTCCTTCCAACATCCTTCCTGATCCCTTCCTTCCCCCTCCCATCCCCTCTGGTCACCTGTAGCTCCATGTAGACCTGAACTGTGTCACTGAGTTGAGCCTGGGCCCAGCCAGAAGGAGCTGCTGTGCCTGGGGGTAAGAGGCTCACAGCCCCACAATGGCTCAGGGTGCCCAGGGGCTCCAGGAAGGACTCGAAGAGGCCCTGCTCACCAGGCTCTGAGCTCTGCAGCAGCACTGGGGAGGAGAAGGAAACTGTCAGGGTCAAGGCCTCAGCTACTACCTCCTTCCCAACCCACACCTTCTGACTAGGGTATGCACTCCCTTTCCCCCCCCACCAGCCCCTTCTTCCTGCAGGGATCCAGAAACCCAGGACCCACCTCACCTCGAGGCCGGGCTTTGGTGAGCTGGTACATGGCTCGGAGACCCCTCAGTGCCTGCACGGCTTCCTGGACCCGGGAGAAGTGCCGCTCCAGTTCAGGCTGGCGCCAGTGTTCCTGGTGATGGGGGGACCACAGTTGGCAGAAGTACTTCTGGGAGACTCAGTACCAACCCTCCTGGCTCTGTCCTCAATCCATCCACCCATCTCCTTAAGGCAATAAGATCTGTCCTCAAAACCACACACACAAAATCCACCCCCAAAAGGAACATGGCAAAGAGCAAGGAGTCATCTCAGAGGTTTTAGATGATCAGTGTTTGATGTCCGTTTAGTTGTTCTGACTGAAGCTGGCAAACAACCAAAAATAAATTTAATACTATTTAAAATTCTCAAAACCAAATAAGTATAAAAGAAATTTAAAAAGTTAAATTTTAAAATAAGTTTTTGGGTGTATTTGTAGCATCTGTCCTTCTAAAGTTATTAAAGTTGCACTGAGATGTTTGGAGCACCTTGTTACTAACTCATCTAACCCTTATCACAACCACGACATGTATTATTACTGTCCCCAGACTAAAGATGGGGAAACCAAGGCACAGTCACACAGCTAGTAACTGTCAGTCTAGCAAAGGAGCTTGTTCTTGACCACTATGCAAATACTATCCCCCAAGACCCTAGAGTTATCTTAGCAACCCTGCAGGAACAATCCATACTCCCAAGGCTCTATGAGAAAGTACAAACCAGCACTGTAAATGATCCCACGGCTGCAAACCCTTTCAGAACCCCCACCCTTTACCAGCAGTCCTACTCCAAGGTGCCATGCACCTGATACTCACCAAGCTACAGCCACTGGGGTACGGGGCAACCGAGATGCTGGGGGCAAGGTGGCAGCCAGGCCTGGAAGGCAGCCTCTGCCAGAGCTCTTCAGCCAGGAAGGGCATCAGCGGGGCCAGGAGGCGGAGGCCAAGATCAGCGCAGGAGTATAGGACCTGAGGGGGCTCTGGGGGATGTGATGAGTGCCACAGTCTGGGCTTCACAGCCTCCTGGGGAGGAAGTAAATAATCACAGGACAGGCAGGACCACAGCATTCCTCCACACAGCTGCTGCCCTACCTGTGGGTGCCGTGGGTCCTGGCGCCACTGGCTGTCCCAAAACACACTCTGGAGCACATGAAAAGGGGAAATTCAGGGCAGTGCTTCCCTTAGGGGGTGAGGATAACATTTCCAGGGAGACATGTGTAGTTTAGAACAAAAATCATTGAGTTTTTTGCTTATCAAAAGGGGATGAAGTTTTTAATAAGGCTGAGCTAGGACAGTGGTCAAAGTCAGCAATATCAGCATTACCTGGGACAAGAAATGAATATTCATGGCACCCACCCCAACCTGCTGAGGGAGCCACTCTGGGGGTGGCCAGGCAATCTGTGGTCAACAAGCCCTCCAGTGCTTTGGATGTAGAACCCAGCAAGAGAACTCTGGTCTAAAGGTCACTGTGTGCTCCCTCCCAGCCTTCTCTCAGCGCCCAGTTTGCCCACGGGCCACACTCAGCAACTAGAAGAACTCTGCCTTCCGATCTTGACTTGTCAGACTGTTTTCTAGAAGTTTCCTCTCTTCCTCCTTTCTCCCCATATAACAGCCAGGCAATAGTGCCTGGGGTGCACTGCAGAAACCAGTCCTAGGGAAGAGGGGAACTGAAACTTTCCTCTCTCCTAACCTTTTTTATTTATTTTATATAGGATCTTGTTCTGTCACCCAGGCTAGAGTGCCATGGTACAATCACAGTTCACTACAGCCTCCAACTCCTGGGCTCAAGCAATCCTCCCACCTCAGCTTCCTGAGCAGCTGAAACTACAAGTGTGCCCCACCACGCCCAGCTAATTTTTTTATATTTTATTTTTTGTAGAGATGGGGGTCTCACTATGTTGCCCGGGCTTCCTTTCCTTTCCTTTCCCTTCCTTTCTGTTCCTATCCTAACTGAGGAAACAGTGGGGAACTTATTAACTTCAGAGTTCTCTGCCATGGATCCTGATTTCCAGGGGAATTAGAAATGGGGCTGCAGAAGTGGGAATGTCAACCCTCAACCCAGCCTTGCTCACCAGGTAGACATCACAGAGGTTGTGGAGCCAGAAGTGGTACAGTGTATGGGTGACGAGCGAGAGCTCACAGGTGAGGAAGCCCCGCTCACACTCTTGGGCGGTCAGGGCAAGGCGACTCAGGATCCAGGCATCCATGGAGGAGGAGGGAGACAGCTGCAGGCAGAAGAGGCTTCAGGACTGGGATGACTTGACGCCCCCACCCCAGACTCCTTTGCCTCCAGATGCCACCTTTGGCCCTCAAACAACTGACCACCCCCTCTCCAAAGTGCCTCTCTTTCTCTACCTCCTCTACAGGCTGTGGTACAAATTTCTCCCCTAGGACTTTGAGGATAAAGCGCAGGGCATTCCAGATCTTGTTGCAGAAATGGCGGCAGCTCTGGACCTCAGAAACAGACAGGCACACGTCGCCCCCTGGAGGGAAAGAATCCAGGGAGTCTGCGCAGGGCAGCTGCAGCACCAGAAGTCCTAATCCTGCCCGCTCCCTACACAGGTGCCCACTGCCCTCTGCTCACCCCAAGGCCTCTCACCCAGGCTTACCATGGACTCCATGGGAGCAGAGTGCAAATCTCAGGGCATCTGTCCCACACTCGGGGATCCCATGAGGAAAGTCCTTTTTCTGCAACCAAAAAAACAAGGGTGGCAGACGCCTATGAGATCGAGGCTGGAGCCTGGACCACAGAGGAAACCAGAGGTCACAACCTAGAGCTGGGAGGAGGCAGACAGCAGCAACTAACCTGTGCTGCAGCTGCAATGGCCAGCTCTGTGGGGTCCAAGTTCCCACTCCTCAGCTTCTCCTGGAGCACCTGGGGATAGGGGTAATTCACTGGCCCAGGGTTAAAGGCCCTGCATCTACAAGGGTCACACCTGCTGACCTCACACCTCTCCTCAGCCTCCCTTCCTCTCTCCCTCAAGCCGGTTCTGCATCCTCACCTGCAGTTCCACCCCACTGATGATGTCCCGTGGGTCCAGCACATTGCCCAGAGACTTGCTCATCTTCCGGCCCTGCCTGTCCCGAACCATGGAATGAAGAAGCACCTGGGAGAATGGAGGGGGTCAGCAGTGGAAGGCTTCAAGAGCCTCTCCCTGGAGGGTCCCTTGGGACCTCTGGCCTCTGTACTTTAGAGAATAGGGTGGTTAGTGAATCAGGAAAAGGAACCAGAAACACGGAAAGCACCATGTTAGGGGTTAGAAGAAGGGAGGACAAGGTTGGGAGAATCTGGGGAGTCCAGATGGGGAGGGCACTGAAGGGCTGTTACCTTGCTGAAGGGAAGTTGCCCCGTGAGCTGGGTCCCCAACATGACCATGCGGCCCACCCAGAATAACAGGAGGTCGCTGCCAGTTTCCAAAAGAGACAGGGGGTAGTAACGGGCAAGATCTGGGGTCTAGAAGGGAGAGGAATAGTAAGAGGCTCAAGCCCTGGGCTCCTGGCTCTTTTCCAGCTTCTGGGGGCCCAGCTGTCCCCTTTCTTCGTCATCCCCACCTTCACTCTCACTCTTTCAACCTGCCTCACCTGTTGAGGCCAGCCCAAGGCAGAAAAGGGGAACAGGGCTGAAGAGAACCATGTGTCCAAGACATCAGGGTCTGGGAAACAGAAAAGGAATAGGGATAATTGGAACCTCAGCTTCTAGGACCCCACAGCTCACAGTTCTGCTGCCACCCCTACCCCCAGAGACCAGAACCTCAGTTTCTAGGACCTCACAGCTCACAGCTCTACTGCCCACCCTTCTAGGAGTACTCCTACCCCGAGACCAGAGGTGTCACCTTTGGCTCCATTCTCAGCTTTCTCAACCCTACCTTCTCCACCTCTGTATCTGCTTCCCTCAAAGGCCCAGACACCTGGCCCACCCCCTCTGCAGCTCAGGTATACTCACCCCTCTCCAGGGTTAGTTTCACCCCTGGCCTCCCCGTCAGCTTTGCCGCTACCTCTCTGGCCTCAGCCTCTGATCGTCCAACTACCCAACAGTCCTCCCTGTCCCCCTGCAAAATAAGTAAGGGGTGGGGAAGAGTGAGGAAGAACAGTGACAGGTGTAAATGTCATTTAGTTTTCATGTCCTCTTGTGTGGTCTTAGGGTGGCCTGCCCACTCCGGGAGGGAGATGAAGAAAGGGAGCCTTGACCATACAGGTTACATAACTAAGAGTAAGAAGCACATTACTGAGATCAGGGAGCCTTGATCATGCAGCTTACATGACTAAGAGCAAGAAGCACATTAATGGGCAGGAGCTGAGCCCAGCTCTGGAGTCCTAGGCTAGGCTCTCCACCATGCCCAGCCCTCCCAGAGCTTCCTACCCACCTGCACGTGCTCCTCCACGACCAGGTAGGCTGGAATCTGATGGCCCCACCACAACTGCCGGGAGACACACCAGTCCCTGCCGAGAGGACATCAGTGATGTCTCAGCATATAGACAGTGGGTCCCCCTCCCCACCTCCATTAGCACTCCCTATTGCCTTACCCGATGTGGGAAAACCAGTGCTGCCAGCTCTTCTGGTGAAAGAACGGACTGAGCTCCAGAGCCCCTGACTCTACAGCCTGGAGGGAACAGAGTCTTTAGACGATACCTTGCTTTCTGCTTGTCCACACTTCCAGGGATCGAATAAGTGGCCTCTGAGAGCATTTTAAAACCCAAAGGACCTCCCAAGCCTCCTGAGAAGACTCTGGGCTTGAGTGAGGGTATGAGGCAGCCCTCTTTGGGCCACCCCGCCTCCATCCCACACATCCTTCCAATGACCACAGCTGGAAAAGTGAGGGGGGTCAGGAGAGGTCCTCCAGGCTCCTGTTTCTTCAGTTCAATTCTCAGGCAGGTCCCCCTGCTCCTGGCCCCAGTCCTATCTCATGTTGCAGCCTCACCTGGGCAGCTCGGTGCCCCATTTCCCGGCAGCGGACAAACCACTGGCTCTTCAGCAGGTATTCTACCACGTCCCCGGAACGACTACAAGGAACACAGGGAGAGTCCGCTGTTCCTCAGGTCCTATGATTTCTCCCAGGGACACAGGACGCTACTGCATGTCAGGCCCTCAGTACCAAGGATACAGCAAGGAATAAAACTGACACAGAGCTTATATACTAAAGAGGGATGCAGAGTTCATCCAGCTGTCACTCTTAAGCTTCATTCATTCCCTCTCAGGGGTGGCCCTTAGTAAAGGAGTTAAAATGAGGTTACCTGCAGATGGGCAGGACCATGGGTTGGTTTTGGAGGCCCCGGAACAGGCCCCGTTCCCTCAGTGCAGACATTATCTTTTCCCGGGCTATGAACCGGTTAAGACCCTGGAGAAGAAATGACAACAGTAAAGATTAAAAGGCCTCTAGAGAAATAAGAAAGTGGGAGAGGGTGGACCCAAAGAATGGGGTAAAACAGGCAGCTACCACCTGCAGCCAGTCCCCACAGAAGGAAGTCATGGTCCCATCCTCTGCAATAACATTCAGGGGGCTCAAGCCGTGTCGGGCCCCAATCTCAGCATCGGCAGGACTATGAGCTGGCGTCACCTTCACTGCCCCTGGGGAGCACAACTGCGGTAAGCACTGAACTTATCTTGGCTTTGCTTTTCCAGAAGTATCCTTATCATCTGTGCCTCCCTACCACCCTCTTCTTTGTCTAGGCCTTCCTTTCCTTCCCTCCACCCATTCAGACCACCCAATATGAGGATCTCCCTCTTCCACTTTCCTCCTCTTCCTGGTTCCCTCCCTTCTCCCCTAGGGTCACAGCTTTCTCTCCCTCTCCAACCTCCACTCACCTGTGCCCACATGTGGCTGAACAGCAGGGTCTGTGATGAGAGGGAGAAGCTTCCCTGTCAAGGGGTGATGAAGCCACCGCCCATGTAGATGCTGAAAAGAGATAGATCAAGGACAGGCATGTGTGGGAGGTAGAAAGGTCTGGAATGGGTGTGAGAAGCCCAAGAATAAGAGGGTGGAAATGAGAAGAGCAAGGTCAGCAAACGTTCTCTTAAGGGGTCAGAGTGTAAATATTTTAGGCTTTTGGTCCAGAAGCAAATTCAGTCTCTGCACAATTACACTCCACTCAGCCACTGCAGCAGTTAGATAACATATATAACTGCAGCCATAGATAATACAGAAGCAAATGAGTATACAAAACAGGTAGTAAACTGGAGTTGGTCTATGGGCCACAGTTTGTCAAACCCTGAGCTAGAGGAAAAGTGTAACATAAAAAAAAAAAGGAAGGAGCAGAGAGCAGAATCAGAGCCATTGCAGAGCTGAGCTGAGAGAAGTCTCAGGAAAAGGAAAGAGGAGCAAAAAAAAAAAAGAGCTACCAACTAAAAAGGAAGGGAAGAAAGGCTGGGTACAACGGCTCATGCCTGTAATCCCAGCACTCTGGGAGGCCAAGGTGGGAAGACCACCTGAAACCAGGAGTTAGAGGCTACAATGAGCTGTGATTTTGTCACTGCACTCCAGCCAGGGTGACAAAGTGAGACCCTGACTCAAAAAAACCAAAACAACAAAAACAAAACAAAACAACAAGGGAAGAAAAGGCCATGGGGGTGGGAGGGCCGGTGTTCAGGAGTGCTGTGTATTACTGTGTATCGGGGATCATCAGGATGAACAGCCACAGCCACATCTCCAGGCAGCGTCTCTGGCCTCGTGGTTCCTACCACAACCTCTGCATCTGAAGACAAACATTCAAGCACTTAAAGCTGGTCATTATGCTTACCCATCACTGCTGACATAGCTAACACCAGCAGAAGTGGAAAGGGGCAGGGGCAGGAAAAGTCAAGATGGAACAGGCTCCCAGAGTAACTTGAGAAAATCAGGGGCAGGGTTTGTAGGAGCTTTGTGTTTCCCATAAGCTGATGACCAGAGGCCTGAGAGGGTGCCTAGTTCCAAGGAATTCCTTGATAACTTGCATGGGAGAGACAGGGTCAGTATTAATAAAAGCAACTGGAATCTTGCTAGTGCCCAGAGCACGCTGGGGAATCTCAGCGTCCTCATCACAAATGCTGTAATTCTTCAGGGCCCAGCCCCTCCCACAAGAAGCCTCTCCTATGAGAAGCTTCCTGACTATTCCAGCTCATCTATCTAACCTCTTCTCTGAACTCTATAGAACTTACTTTACAAACCACACATCAGAACTCACCTCTTATCTCCTTTCTGGGCAGCAGACTCCCACAGAACTACACTAGGCTCCCAAAAGGCAGTGACCACATCTACCTTTCTTACATGCCCCAGAACACCCAAGCTAAGTGCCTACAACGATGCAAATATCACCAATGTTCACAAGGGAGACAAGCTGAGGGGTTCTTAACAGCTCAACATGGGTTTGAGAAGACAGGGGAAGCAGAGATAAGCAGTTGACCCTGCAGAGGACTACGCTCACCAGGCTCTCCATCCACGGGGAAAGCAACAGAAACCATGAGGCCAAAAGACACAGGGGTGGGGCAGCCAGGCAGTCGAAGTTCTGTGCGGCCAGGCAGGGGCCGGCTCTCTACCTGAAAGTGCCAAGGAAGCTAGGTCAGAGAGTAGCCTTTCTGCAAGGTTCACACCTAAACTTACCTCCCCCCACCATTCATCATTTGCCCAGCCTCCCAACAACCCAGTTAAAGGCCTTCAGAGGATTTGGAAACCACCTCCCTCTCCCCTCACCCAATGTTTGTGCAGTCACAGTTTTAATAAGCATTCACTGAGCACTTAAGCCATGCCCAGGTATTGTGTTGAGCACCTACATGAATTCTCATCTCATCTTTTCAACACCCCATGATGTAGGCACTCCATCATCTCTAACTTACAGATTGAGGAAGCTGAGGCTTAGAGAGGCTAAATAGCCTGCCAAAAGCCACACACAGCTGTCAGAAGCAGGGCTCAGATTTGAATCCAGGCAGTCTGGCTCCAGAGTCTGAGCTCTTAACCACTCAACTACCCTGTCCTGGAGCTCTTGCAAACCTGCTTCTCTTTCTCTGCCTCACCTCAATGTCCGAGATGGCTGATCTTAAAGCACATGACCAGTTGACAAGCTGACGATTCCGGTACAACAACCCCGCCTTGTAGAGTCGCACGAAAGCTTCAGTGACAGCCATTGAGGAGCCCTAGAATGACCTGAGTGTCCAAATCTAACAGCTGCTTCTCAGCCCATGACCCCACTCAGGGACCCAGGCATTCTTACCTCCCTTCTCAACTCACCCAACAACCCCCTGCCTTGCATAGATCTCTAAATGCCCCCCAGCACCCACAGGGACCAAGGCACAGAACACTCACAGCATCCATGGTAAAACACTCTCGATCCCAGTCCAGTGAGGCACCCAGAGCTCGCAGCTGCTCATAGATCTCTCCACCTTTCCTGTGCCCAGAGATATCCTCATAAGCAAACAAGTCCTGAACCCCTCCCATGAACCAGGCCCACCGATGCCCCCATCAATGCTGGAGGAAAATGAAGTGAGTATAGCATTTATCTAGCCTCCAGAAGCTAATGGCAACGGACCTACAGACCCACAGACCCAGTATGGAGCTTTCTATGACATTAAAAGAGGAATAAAATTCTAAGGAACAGAGGAGGGGTGGCAAAATTCTGGGAAATGCAAGTAAGCGTCACAGAAAAGATGGCATGTGATAACAGACCTGGAAGGATGAGGGTAATTTCATGGGAATTGAAAAGTAGGTGTAGGCGAGTGGGAGAGTGACAAAATCGAGGCAAGGGAAAATGGGGCAAGTAGCAAGAAAAAGATATATAATATGCACGTATACACACAAATGTATATGTTTTAATGTATACATAACACATGCACACAAAGAAGCTTAGAAACCCCACCAAACACTACGGGGCTCCAGAGTTTACACCTCTGAGGCAGGCAGGGCTGCACTAGGAAGAGGTGAGGATTACAAATTAAGAGAGAAAGTGGTGGGAACCAAGGACCCAAACCTGCCACCTGGGACCCTCCAGCCTGCCCACTGTACTCACACTTCCTTCCACTGCCACACCTCCCTAAGGAAGTCCTTCCGGCTCAGCTCATGCCTCCTGACTCCCCGCTCCTTCCATAATTGTTTCTCCACCACAGCCTGCAGTTGGATTAGGGGAAAGTGAACAGAATTGCTTTTGGGAAAGAAATTGCTTTCACCCAAGAAATGAAAAATGTAATAAAAGACATACTTGTGTAGCTATTCCTGCATGATCGGAGCCCGGGACCCACAACACTTGATCCCCACGCATCCGGTGCCTGCAACAGAAATGCCCTCATGTAAGCCCCTGGGCTTACACATTTATCCTCACTCATTGCCACACTTTCTACTTCCCCTCCAAGAAATCAAGCAGCCTCTATTCCCCTCTCACCAGCGCACAAGGGCATCCTGTATGGCTACCGTGAGTGCATGACCAATGTGCAGAGAGCCAGTAACATTAGGAGGTGGGATACACATGGAAAAGGTCTCCCCTGTGGCCTGGGGCAGCTGGGCCTAGAAGGAAGTCAAAGGGCAAGAGAGGACTGCGTGTTACCTGGGAAGACAGCACCCTCTGGTGTCCCCAAAACTTCAGGGAAGAACTATCCTGCAGGTAACAGAAAAGTGGAGGGGAGGGGATCTGACAAGAGAAACCTTTGGAGACACCAGGGCCAGAAAGAAGATGTGGTCTTCAGTGTGAGTTCAACTCTGAGGCACCAGTTGTGCTCCAGAGTCACTCTGTCCTGGAGACCACTTAGTACCCCTCCCTGCCAGGTACTAACCTGATATTCTGGCTTGAAGAAGCCCTCTCGCACCCACCACGGGTACCAGGCAGCCTCAACATACCGGGGGCTGTATGCAGGAGGCAGGGGTCCAGAGACATCTGCGGAGGCAGAGGACAGCTCCACTAACTACTGAACTTGATTCCAGGCTGCATTTCAGCAGACCAAATGGGCAATAAAAATGTGAGAGAAAAGGCCTAGTTCTACAGTTACCTTTCTTTTCACCAGGTTCTGTAGGAATTTCATACAATACTACCTCCTTAGGACTCCAGGTCTTCCTGGATTCTGCAGGTGACTAGGAGGAGGGAGTAGAAGGGTGGTAGGATGCAACTCCTAGTATATCTCAGCCATGTGGATCCCAGTCCAAGTCTCCTCCAGCCCCCTCCCAAATCTGAGACCCAAGGACAACCTGTCTGACCCCCTAACCTTGCTCTTCCTGGCAAGCCCAGCCTCCAGCGCCGCCTGTTTTTCTCGCAGGCGCTTCTGTTTGGCTTCACGGTTCCTCTGAGAGATGGGAGATCCATGGGGCTCTGACTGTGTAGAAAGGGGATGGGATCTGAGGAGGCCTGGTGAGGGCCTCAGCACCCAAAGTGATGGTCGAAAAGAGGCCAGAGGCAAATGAGGCATCAGGCACGTTTGGGAAAGGGCCGAGATCTGTTTCAGATAGACAGAGAGCACATTAGGAGCATGTGGAAGGTAGGGAAGGGTCACTCCCCCTAAGGTCTGTATAACTGCTTCCTGCTACTGCCCCCTTACCCCTTATTTCCTGCAGCCACTAGTACTGGTCTGTCATTCCAAGTATCTATCCTCCCCCACACAACCCTTCCTCCTTGAGGACTAGATTTCTAGGTGGCAAAGTATAAGCACTCTGGAGTCACGGAGACCGGGGCACTTCTGGAGCAGGGCCTAGTCTTTTGCCCTCAACATATGCATCTACGATTTGGTGGCGACCGCTGACACAGAGGGGCGAGGACTCAGGTTCAGGGAGATGATGGGCATCAGCGCGCCTAAGAGCCATCAAGGAGTCCTGCCAGGGTCACTGAGATCTCCGCCTGCCCAGGGGCCGCCCCAGAGTCACAGCCCCGCGCGGCCCGATCTTCCCGCCCATCCCACCGCGTGGGCCCAGGGCCAGCAGCTCCTCCTGCTTCCCGGAGGCCGCCCCGGCGCGCGCTCACCCGGCTGCCCTGCCGCTATCCCATGGCGCCCCGCGGCGGCAAGGGCTGGGGGAACTAGAAAGCCGACCCTGGAACGTGGCCCGCCCCGCAGTCCACGCAACGCAGTGGGGGCGGGGCCCGCCCGGCGCAAGCGCAGCAGCTCGCCTCGGCCCCACCTCCTCCGCTCCCGAGCCAATAACGGCCGTCAACGGGAAGAGGAGGGAGTCCGCCGCCGAGAGAGGAAATCCCGCAGGGAGGCACCTGGGGCCGCATAGCTCACTATCACAACTTTATTAGACAAGAAAAGTCCCGCCGCGTAAATAAAAAACACCTGAGTTCTGAAGCCGCGCCCGCCATGCGGCTGGGTCGGCCCGCCCCGCCGGCCCGCCCGCGTCCGAGCCCCGCAGTCTCAGGAACTGTGCTTCTGCCGCTTCCAGAAGCGCTTGACGTCGCTGTGCCCGGCCGGGGTCACCACCATGAGCCGCTTGGCGGAGTTCTCGAAGATGAGCACGCCCAGCTCCCGCGCACGGGCCAGGAGCAGCTCGAAGTCCACTTGTGACAGGAACTGGTTATATAGGACGCCTGGGGTCAGCAGGACGGGAGGGGTGGAGAGAAATGGCAGAATATGAGGCTCCGAGCCACCGGCCTGGGAATCCTCCCAGCCCCTGCGTGGCTTGCCCTCAATTTTAAATACCCCCTGAAACTAAAATTTTTAAAAATTTAAAAATAGGCCGGGCTCGGTGATTCAGCCTGTAATCCCAGCACTTTGGGAGGCCAAGGCGAGTGGATTGCCTGAGCCCACGGGTTCGAGACCAGCCCGGGCAATTTGGCGAGACCTCATCTCTACAATAAAAAGAAAAAAAAATTAGCCGGGTATGGTGGCGTGCTCTTGTAGTTCCTACTACTTGGAAGGCTGAGGCGGAAGGATCACCAGAGCCCAGCAGGTCGACGCTGGGGTGGCCGTGATTGTGCCACTGCACTGCAGCCTGGACAACTGGAGTGAGACTCCAACTCAAAAAAATGTCACTGTAACATCAACTTACTCTGAAAATTCATAGCCCCTGTCACCAAATTGACCCATTCCTGTTCAGCTGTTATCCCAATAAAATCTAAATCTCTATGCTTGTCTGCCTGGGTTCATCTTAATACCAGTGTGGCCCAGCCATATTCAGAAAGGCAATATAATACAGTAAGAAAATCCATTAATGTTCATCAAAACCAGAAAATAATTGTGAATTAGTCCCTCTCCTAGTTAAATACAAATTGAACTGATTTGGGACAATTTATTTACTACAGACTCACCCCCAAAATAACAAATGTCTTGCCATCGTTTCTCTCCCAGTCCATGCAGTAAACAAAAAATGCATAGAAAGCTTTCTCAGCTAGTAAAGACTGAATTGTCTGCCCTTCCTTCGGTCAATGACCAAGACTCCACCACTAGAAGCCACTTACCTTCAGTGAATCGGAGTCTGTCCCTTTCCAGCTCCCACAGCCGAATCTGGTCTGTGATGGTAGGAGGCAGCACAGGAGTCTGCAGAGACAAGGGTTGGCTGCAGGAACTCAGGAATACCATCCCAGACAACCCAGCCCTACACTCGTTTCCCAGATGTGGATACCCCTTTTTCTTTTCTGTCATTTCATCACCAGGGCCCAGGATCTGTATGCCTCTGACATCTTTGTACCTGTTTGAGCATCACTGGGTGGGCCCGTGTCCTTAGGAAATGGATTATCTAGGAAAACACAAGAATGGCATGAGGGTTTGAGCAAGTGGTCAGGAAAGTCAACCACGTTGTCACCTAATGTCACTGGTATATCAACTTACTCTGAAAACTCATAACCCCTGTCATCAATTCGACCCATTTCTGTTTAGCTGTTATCCCAAGTTGTTGCTCCCATTGGCCATGTCTGCTATTCTTATTCTGGCACATTCACCCTTTCCAGTCTTGTTTTCTTTTTCTTTCTTTAAAATAGCAGCAGCTACTATTTTTTCAGCACTTATTGCATAGCAGGCTCTGAGCTAAATGCTTTACACTTATTCTTCCACTGAATTCTCCCAACCACCCTGTGAGGTGAGAACTGTCATGAGGAAGTTGAGGTTCACAGAGGTGAAGCAACTAGGCCCAATTCCCTTCTATCCTTTTCCAGAGGAAAGGAAATGGTGGTGCCCAGACACAAAACAAATCCATAGCTATACCTCCCTCCCTCCATGTTTTCCCCTCAGGGTCTGCCTATTTCCACACCCAAAGCCTTGGATTCTCCTCATGCACCTGGTGCTTACACACAAACAATCCGCCATGACCTATTATAACAGACCCGGAGCTAGCCTTCCGTAATGTGACCACCCTGTACCCCACAGCCCAAGTACAGCCGTCTTCCTCCCCTACTTCCCCCAAGCGAGGATACCTGCTGGGCTGTGATGCCACTGGCGATGGCCTGCTGCACACTCTCCCGGGTCACCTGCGCCACCACCATGTTGGGGAAGCGATAGAGCATCTCAGAGAAGAGGGCAATGAGGGCGATCTGCAGCTCGGACTCTGACCCGGGGATAGGAAGAGAAGATAAGGATACTACCCCCATAGCCAGACTCCCTCAAGCCCATCCTTCAAGTGTGATGAGAAATGTCAGCAAGCTCTGCAAACTGCCAGGTAAACATGAACATAAATCGGCATTCCCTCCTGTTTCCTTCCCCTCCTAACCCATCCCTACCCTTCTCTCCCAGGGGCCCTCTGTCTGAACTCACCTGTATAGGCATACAGTCGGTAATTGGTTTCCACAACAATGAAGCCTGGCTGATGCACAGTGCCCCCAGCACCAGAGACGCCTGATGAGAGATTGATGGCCAGGCGTGTGGGGTAGTAACGCCGAGATTTCCTCTGGAAAAGGATAGAAGGGAAAGGCAGATGTCCTTTCTCAGGGGTCACTGCCCTAAATCTTCCTGCCTGAGACATCAGATCCCTCCCAGGACACAGAACCTCATCCCTGACTCCCCTGAGGGATCCAAGTATTCAGTCCTGCCAACTGCTTCCTGCTGATGCCCTGAGACCCCACTACTTTTTAAAGGTCAAGTCAACACACTACCCTAGAAGATGCATATCTAGGTGCTCATACCTTCCTCTGGAAAACAAGCCCAAACTCACGCAGATGTTGCAAGAAGTTCAACAGAGAATCACTCATACCTTCCACAGAGTAATCCTGGGGAAGAGAGGTGACCAGCTGGAGTCCAAAACACATTCCATCCCCGCTTTCTCAATCCTATACACTCAATCCCTCTTTCCCATCTCTGCTCATTCTGCGTTTATTCTTATCTTCTCACTCTACTGCCCACAAACTGCTTTCCCTTCCTATGCCCTCACTCTCCAGTTCCTGCTTACCTTGCCCAGAGTAGAAAAGCTGAGCTGGAAGAGGAAGGAGAGAATCTCCACTAGGTCCATGCCCCGGCTCTAGGGAGAAAGGGGCAGAGACAAAGATGAGAGATGGAAGGGAAAATGGGAGAAGAGGAACAGAGAGGAGAAAATGAGGGGACAGAGTCTGCAAGCAGTAGTCTCTCAGTGAGGACTGAGAGGAGCAGAGCCTGCTGGTAAGTGGCCCCAGCCTCCTCACCTGGGCCGTCTGCAGATACTGCAACATGAAGTACCAGAGCTGGGCCGGTGTGTCCAGCAACAGGAACTGGAAGCCAGCTGAGGTAATGCAAGGTGGCTCTCCAGGCTCAGTACTAGAGACATAGAGAAGGACGATGGAGACATGCAGAGAGAGGCTACTATTCCCACTTGTCCTCCATGTTTTTTCTTGGTATCGGTGTCTGTTCTCTACTTAGCCTACCCCTCCCATCTTGACTTGCCCCAGATACCATTTAGCAGGGATCCAAGGAGGTGGCACAGCAGAGAGCTATGGGACCACTGGCTTCCTCACCTCTTCATGAGCCCAGCCTGGCTGAGGAGTTGAGCCAAGTCCTGGCTGACAGCTGCACTGGGGGAGCCCACCATGAAGTGCAAAACCACCTGAGGAACAGAAAAGAACAGGGAGACCATGCCTCTGGGGGCCATGGGAAGTAGGACCACAAGCAGAGGCACGCACAGAGAGTCCCAAGTGCTCACCTCCCATCGCTCCTCAGCATATTTGTCAAGTGAGGGAACATCACGGGCGTGCTTGTCTGGTCCCAGCTGACTTGTGTCATCAGACCAGGCCTTCCCCCTGCAGCCAGGATAGGTAAGAGTAAGGAGCCCTGTCTGTATTCTTTGCTGCCCTTCTGCCCTCTTTCCACCCTTATCCCCACAGCCATGAGTGGGGGACATTTCCTACACCATGCAGCCACCCACATCTGGTCCAACTTACTTATAAAGGAGCTCCCCAAGGTGGAGCCCACAAGGTTATGAGAAGGCCCCTCAGGAACTCCTCCTCCAGCAGTTTAATTACCAGTTTAATCACCAGTTCCCCGGCCTAGCTTAGTAAGAGATGGAAGTAACATACCCACCCAGAAGGGCAATGCGGAGGTTTTGGCGGAAGATAGGGTTGAGGATGAGGCCCTGGAGCCCGCCTGGGAGCAGCTGGGTGTGCCAGATACGGAGGCCACTCAGCAGCCCTGTACTTTCCTCTTGAGCCCTGAAACAGAAGCAGAGAGGTAAATGGTGTGTCGGGAGACAAAAAGGAGGAGGCTCATGAAGCCTCCATTTCTGCCTTTTCTGAACTGATGCTCCCTGGATCACTGTTCCAAAGAGAGAAATCAGCACTTCCTTAGGACAAATAGTTTTACTGTACTACCTATCAGAGCCTTGTTATAAACATCACAACTCTCTAAGAGGGAAAATACAGTATGCAGAGTTTCCCAAACTTATTTAATTGCAAATTTTGAGGTACACCTATTAATGTTTCCTGGAAATGTTCCAAATAGCAGTTTGGGAGAACTAGTTGTTGAGAAATTTGTGTCTGGCTGAGAATGTAGTAGAAACTCACTTGCTGAATTCCTTCTTTACCCACAGGGCAACAGCAGCTTGCGGCAAAGGCTGCTCCAAAAAGAGCATCCGCATCACCCAGTTCTTAGCCAAGGATGGGAGTTCCCTGTAGGGAGAAAGAGATCAAATTTTAATATCAGAAGCTGCCTTATATCTGCTTCTCTGCCCTCAGCTGCCTCACAAACATCTCATCTCACTCCATCATATCTTTAC